CGAAGGTCGGTGGTTGCACACTCAATCTCCTCAAGAAATGCCTTAACTGTTTTACTAAACTCCTACAAAACAATACTCAAGATATAGTCACTTCGAGAGAATGAAATTGATTCAATAATTCAAATTATGCTGCAAGGAGTATTATTGTTGGTGATGGTTGCAGGTAATTAAGGCATCTTGCAATGTTCGTAACAAAAAACTTCATTCATATCCGTATCTTCACGATTCATCAGAGGACGAGCCGTATTTGTCATCTGATGACAACGTTACGGATCATAGCGGATATGTGAGGAGTGCATCGAGATCGAGCCAGAAGAGTGCAAGTAGTGAATTTGCACGAACCACGAACTCACCCATAGCCAGCAGATGTTCGTCCACAAGTCCGCATATAAGCGAACGTAAACGTGAGCAGAATCGTTCTGCGGCAATAAGATACAGAGGTATTNTATTCCATACTGCAAACATACAATTCATTCAGTAATACCGAAATCCATTTTGAAAAGATCATCGTAAGCATCTAATTGCATTGACTATGAGGTCTGCTATATCCAGTGCTTCGGTAATCCAGAGTTATAATGTTCCAATCGTACAGATTGATTATATCGAGCTAAGTGCTTTTATTCCTTTGTGCCGTGTAATATAGCTGTATGCTACTGAATTTGCACTGTTCTACCAGATCAGGTAGTATAACCGGAATCGTTATGAGTTGCCTTTGTCTTCAGATAAGCGTCGTGAAGAGGCGAAACGTAAAAAACAGGAACTGCACGATTTGGAGTTGAAAAACGTGGAACTTAAGACGCAGGTGGCCGGTCTGAGCAAAGAGATCAGCTATTTGAAAACAATTCTCCACGAAGTATTGCATAAGCCAACTAACTAATCACTGATTGTATTTTCGATGGTTTCCAATGCTTTCATCGCAGATTGATCTGCAATTATTGTCGTTCTAGGCAGCTTGCATATTGATGTTTGCAATCGTATTTATCACTGTATCATTCCTTTAGCAATCAGTTAATACTCGTCCAACCCATAACGCAGATAACCTGTGATACAATCGAAGTCATTTCNTCGAATCGTGTCAGCGACGACCCTTTATCGCAATAAAATGCTCGGAAACAGTCATTCATGGCAATATAAATCGGCCATGTAGGTTAGGTTCGTGATATCACTGGAAAGATATACGTATTTAATTTCATATGCAGTTAGTGTCCACCTTGAGCTTATAAACTTCTTGTATTGTGAAAAATATTGTTTGTTTTGTCATTTTATGTTGGATTTTACTGCTTTAACTTTTATTTTTATTATATTCATTGTACGATTATATCTTGTCTCGATCTTTCATATCGTTATCATTCTCTTATCTTGTCTTGGACGAATCTCATGGTTTTCATCAGTATTCTAGGTGAATTCATCCATAATATCTACAATAATTTTTGATCTCTGAGCACTTTTGAGTGAATGAAGCGTATGGATCACTTTACCATGGAAAAATCATGGACGTCTTGCTCCACGATAATATCGTAAAAATTGAAGAGACCGATTATGGATCAGGATTGATCAGAGAAGATTATGGATCAGGATTGGTCAGGGAAGATTGTGGATCAGGATTGATCAGGGAAGATTATGGATCAGAATTGATCAAGGAAGAGTTCGTCTGAGTGATCACGATATGATAATCCAATGTTTCTTTATTCAGTGTCGCTGTTCTTATTCATTTTAGGTTTTCTTTTTCCTCACACAAGTACAAAATGCATGATGACCTCTTTACATCTCAATCCCACGCTTTTACAAGATTATCAACTGCAGCTGATCGACTGTTCTGTTGGTCATTTGATCATTCACGGTATCAGAACCGTCCACAACATATATTCAGAAATTTCTGAGACTTGTGTGAGTCACTCATTCGGGAAGTGTAATTGAAGTTTATTAACTGATACCTTCTCATACTAAACCTCTTGTTTGTTAGTATCATTATATCACAATATTATTGTCATCGTTTACTCTTTGTATAGCATGTTCATGTTATTTTGCACTGTTCATATTTCCATGTTCCTGTTTTTTTCGTATTTAGAATTATATTGAAAATATATTGTATTTTACAAGTGTTATCATTAAATGTATTAACTGTTTACTTATAAGTGAACAATCTTTTGATTTTCCACTCATCAGTTTTGATTTATCAGTATCTGATTGTTTATTCGTTGTTTTAGCGGAATCATTCTGTTGAAAACAGCTATCGTTATCGTACGAATGAATTGCTATTCAGTGTTTTATTGTCTTGAACTTGTTTTATTCAATAAATTCTTATAAAAAGGAAGAAAACAGTTATGGATTATTGCAAACATCATATTGCACATACAATTCGTTCTTACAAAATTCCTCCGAACAGCTGTAATCGTGCATGTTACCGAACACCTTATCGGGCCAAAGAATGGCCACTGATAGTCGAGGAACACTTTTTTTGAAAAAAGAAATTCCATTTTTTCATTTTAAGATATCATTTTTCATTTTCACATTGTATTAAGCCATCATTCAATTCTGGAATTATCTTCTTTCTGTAATCCCGATCCTTGAGCGCTCGTTGTTATCAAGAAGTGAAACACTGAACAATTCAATAATCTATCAGAATGAAAATTCGACGTGCATTATTTGTTGCATTCGTTACGTTGAGTCAACGTGCGATTGAGTGCAATGAATGCAAAACGCTGTCGTGCCTCTAAGAGTAACAATGAGCACTTGTACGTGAATGAGAGCAATGAGAGCGATGCTTGAGGTTGAAAAAAATTGTTCGACTATGCGAGAAGAATGAGGAACTGATAAAACAGAGATGGTAAAATAAGAATGACGAAAATTATGCTCCAAAACAATGCGAATAGTTTCACGCATGTAATTCCACGAAATTAATTTGCTTATTTTTAGGTGTAGGTATTCCCAACAGCTTCAATCACATAACCATAGAAATAACAGCAGTAGATGAGAATAATGATAATGCCATCAATTATAACTTTATATTAATTATAAATGGAGCAAATGATAGTTGAGGAATTTTAAAAGTCATATTGAAAAGGGATATGATGGTGATATGCACAAATTTGTATTCTTGTTTTTTTGCTTCTCGTAATTTTCAGTTTCAGTTGGCGATGGAATACGATGAGCGTGGATATTCACTTAGTTGTCACCGCTTTTCAGAGCATTTCTTCATGTTGCCTTGCAGATGGTCAAGATGAAATCGTCTTGATGAGAAAAACTCAGAAAGATTTACGAGCGAGATGATTAATATTGCAGCAAGGCTTGAAAAAGTATTGTTACGTTGGTGTTAGCAATAAATATAATATGTTTTGCCCATTTTCAGGTTGCTTCGTTATAATTTATTCATGTCCGCTCTTCACTCATCCCAACGGAATTCCGGCTGTCCGTTATTTATGTGGAATGCTTCAATACGATCTTCTTCTATGAAATATTATGCATTCATTCATAAATCTTCATATTTATTTGATAAACGAACGTGTGCATATACGAATAAATACGTTCGAATTTAATTTATGTTCAGATTTTGGATTTTTTATTTTTACACGTCCAAAGAAACACGCCTTTCGTCGTTTGCCTTTTCGTCACTTAACATCCTCACAATCAGGAACCTAGTTGTTGCAGAAATGCAAATCGAAATACTCGATCTCTCTTTTTTTTTCCAGTTCAGTTGATTTTACGACGTTGACCACACAACAGTAAATTTGATCTCGATCGTACAATATTTCGATTCTTCAATTTGACAGTACCATTTTTACGCAAGATGCCAGTCACTACTGGTGCAATCGTCATGTTCATTTCCTGAGGTTGGAACCGATGCTCACCACAAGTGCTAGTTTGAAAGCATAGATCGACGAGTTTCAAATTCCCCAAACCTTGAAAGCTGAAGCAACTTAAACGGAAATCATGAAATCAGCAATTTTTCCTACTTGATTATTCTCTCTCGTCTGAATCGCAGCGTAATTTTTGCAGCGTACTCGTCTCCTGTCGTTTCGTTCTTCCTCGAATAACCTTTCTGTCAACTGATATTTCTAGACTAATAATTCATGTCATGCAAGACCCACTCATGCAAGATCTCATTTGCGCTCTATTGCCCTAACACATTGCACGGCATTTTTTCTCGTTTCAGTCAACCGTAAATATCCTCCTTGACATTAAATGCTGTGCTGCTGTCTTATATTGTTAATAAAAGCATTCGGT